TTAATTATATCCACTTTCCAATCCAAAAATAAATGAAAGCTTTGTATGGTTTCTTTGTTGGAATAATCTCGCTTCGCCCTGAAGCTATATGAGTAAATTTAATTAAAAAACTTTTCAGAGAACATACAGCTAATAGCAGAGTTTTACGTGACTTGATATGTACTACCATCTTACCTATAATTTTTATACCATAACCTATACTACAAGGTGAACTTGAAACCATTAAAGTCTGCGGTTTTAAAGGAATTATCCCCCGCAAACGAATAAGCTCCCTGACGAGGTTTACTCTAGAAACTACATTATGGGGTTTTTCAAAAAGCGTACATTAAGGTCTCTTCAGGGTTAGCAACACGCACGTGACACCTCTAATGTTGCAAGCGTTCATAGGCTACAGTAACCGTTTACAATCAGACGGCTTATCTTGTTTGTTTGCCACCTTCGTGGTATAAAAAAGTCTTTTAAGGAATCTTCTCTTACTGAAAGTTAACCTTCTTCTCGTATAAACATAAAGTGAGAAATGACAAATATATTAAACCGGAAGTTTAAGTTAGCAGTTATTAGTAAATAAAACCTAAAAAAGATGATCAATTGACTTCAATTTCTTTCCATTTAATAACGTTCAATGCTGTATTATCAAGTACTTCGTATATTATTATAATTATTATAACAAAAGCATGAAGCCGCGACCGAGAATGGGCATGTCAGTCACAGATATTCCATTATGTCGATGAATGAGCCTGCAAGGAAATGGTTTGCACATCAAATACCAGGAAGTGCCTTGTATTCAATAATATAATCTTACAAGCCCTCATTACGCTGTTACAGTTTTGGTTCATGTACGACATTTACCAATTAACTTTGACCGAATCTGACATTACTGCTAATCCAAGTAACAGAGGAATAGAATTGCCATTAAAATTGTAATTAGTAAGTGTAAGGAGATAATAGTTAAAACAATATTTTTAATCACTTTTTCTGTCAAAAATTACTATACTAGGTTAGATATGGTCACACTTAAAAATCTAATTTAAAATATGGTGCATATTTTACCTTGATAGGCTATCTAGCAATGGTCTATTCCACTAGTTTTCCTACCTATTTATAGTTATGAAGACAAACGAACAGATGGTCCACCTGATGGACAGCGATTACTGTCGCTTCTAAACACTTACAACATGAAGAGAACTGCTTATGTGTTATTGACTTTTTAAATGTTTGTAAGCACGTTTTTTTAATGCCCAATCATCATTCATCAAAATTTAAGTAAGGAGAGATCTATAAGGAGAGATTTGCCAGTATTTGCCACGCTTGGTAAGGATGTTGGCAACCGCAGTTAGGCTTTTAGGGATATTTTAAGATGGTCGCTGCTGCCGTTATTATCATCTGCCATTAAGATCCCTTAGTCGCCTCTTATGACAACCACGGAGAAGGAAGGGGTGGCCCATTCTATATCGGGACTACACGACCAATGCCCATTTTCATATTACAATGGGAAGATTCTTTTCGTTAAAGTCGCGGACAATAGCTAGTCTTTAATATACGGATATCAAAATTATGCCTCATCATCCTGAGCTACTTACTTCTAATTATGTTCTTTCCGTTGTTTCTTGAAAACCTCCATTCGGAATCTCATCAGGCGACAAAAATGTCCAGTGACAGAACAATAAATTTTAATCAAGACCCAAATTGCTTCGGCAATCGGCCCTCTTTTGTTTTTCCTTCAGCTCGACCATTAGTCTTCAGATTCTCTAACACAATTCTCGAAGCGAATTTTAATATCTTACTCTTGTGAGAGACTTAATTAAATGTGCCCTCCGCTTACATTTGTTCCCGTTTAAAATTAATATTCTTTAAGTTTGTTAGAGTTTGTATTGGGTTTCTGTTTTTCATTGACTTCCAAAGGTATTAGATTCTCAATTCGTCAATTTTTTTTTGGTTATGTTACTAGATTACGTTCCCAGTTCTGAACTATCTTTGACACATTAAATTTAATGTCCTCTTTCGCGGAAGGCATTTTTTTTTAATACGACCCCGGGTTTGATTCTCAGATTTGGCAATTTGCCACATAATCATACTAATCTCCTCAGTTTAAAAATATTCTATATTTAGTTTTTAGCAATTAAAATTATCAATTTTCATAGCATAGCCAGAATTGCTTGTATTTAATGTTTTAATCTAATGTGGTGTCTACGAAATATCTCGTTCTTCAACAGTATGTTTTATGATGACTGATATCACAGGATTTTCTTTTTCTATTAAACAAAAGATTTTTTTATTTTACAGTACTTTGATTTGAAAAAGAAGATTTGATATTAGGTTGTATGTTGTTTTTTTTAATTTGGCACATCATAACCACGGCAGTTGTACACCGATTTGGAAATTTACTTTTTTATCTGAAAGGACATACATACGGATTGGTCTCGTTGAAATTTTATTAAAATCGATTCAGTAGTTCAGTTATAAATGTAAATAATTCTTTTTGTCACAACTGTAGTCGGTTTTTTTGTGTAAAAACAATTTAATTATTAAAACAAATAAATTTACAATTGTAAATTTCTGTTAATAATATACACAGTCTTCAAATGGTCTTTATCCTTGAAAAATGTATTTAATAAATGAATTCAATGAGTTAATTTGAATGACATTTCGTAATAAAATTCTAACCTCTCCGGCTAACTTTTGCAAGGAAACTCAGTAAATGGACTTTTGACCTTTGCAATTTGAATTACAGTATTAAACGAATTTGAAATCATTAAGGAATCTCCAGCGGTAAAATCGAACATTTTTCTAAAAAAATATGAAAAAATTTTGGAGAATATATAGCCCCTCTTAATAACATAATATACACACACCAGAGGGAGACTTTGTACAAAAGTCGTTTGCTTGGGTACCTCTGTCCCATTCGTGTTTCTACCGTGAAACAATTGTGTTTGCATGGCTGTGTTTCGGTTTGAAGGGTGGGATATGGCGTGAATTTACAGGGTACAGAGGAATAATGCTTGAGGCCTCAGGAATAGCAACGCATGGGGGGTATCATGGACGAAACAGTATACTCTGTTATGTTCATGGTACTGCTCATGTGTATAGGCGATGGTTACCACTTTATATATAATATGGATTATAATATGGGTATAATATGGATTATAAACTATGATATAATATGAAATTGGTCGTGTGGTCCCGGCATAGAATGGACAACCCCTTCCTTTTCCGTGGGTGTCGTAAAAGGCGATTAAGTGAAGGCGAGGGATGGACAGTAGCATCTCTATTAAAAAATCTCTAAAACTTAAATTCAGTTGCCAATTCGTCTACCAAGCATGGCAACTATTGGCAATACATAAAAGCTGATATGATGATGACGATGATAGTATGGATTCTCAAATTTTTATACCTTTTTTGAGTTGTATATTTTTTGGAAAAGTATTTTCTTTTCTCTGGAAGAATATTCCCTAAAAATATATATATTCCGTTGATTACCACTTCATTCTGTAGACAGATGTCACATTATGCATATATTAGATTATTTTATACACACAAGTGAGGAATTGAAAAAAAAAACCTTGTACGAACAAATCTAAAGAAATGTCCGCCATTTTCTCAAATGGAGCTCCATTCTGTCTTACTGCTCTATAAAAACACTCAAGATTATAATATTGAAGTGTGTATACAGACCAGTAACGACTTTATTGCATGCGCGTGTTCGCGAGTCGCATGCGCGTGTTCACGGGCGTTAGATGTGTTTTTTGATACGCGAAATACTTCCGCAAAAATGTCGTGTACTGTGAAATGTGCTACCTGTAATATTGTAATTGATGAGCTTCTGTCTTACATACAGAACAAAATATCGATAGCTGATGAAGAAAGCTTAGTAAAAATCTGTGCATCATCGTTTACAAGTGAACAAGTTCAAAAGTCACATACGTTACTATTTGAATCAGTGTCTTCAGAGTTACGAAGAATCGCACGTAAAGGAAAAGGAAAGGGGGATCGTCTGTTGTACGACATACTCAGCTTCTTCAAAGTCACTGATCCTGATATGCTGCCTATATTTGTTGCTCGTGACCTTGAAAAACTGCCACCTATCACCTGGGATCATTTGGACGTATCTAAAGTCCTGAAAGACCTATTGATAGTACAGTCTGAAATTAAAACAATTAAATCATCGTATGCAACTGTTAAGCAGCTAGAAGAAGTTAAAAAGGAGTGCTATAATTTAAAAACCGTTTCGCCACCATTCTCTGCCGCTAAGATTAACATAAAAAGAGGTGCTTATCGTGACAGCGGCCCTATAGCTTTATCGGTTATGGATGAGTCTACTATAAGTAATCATGAAGATGAATCCAGTGGTGAAATGTCTTCTACACGGGATAATAATTTACATTATAGAAATATAAATATAAACACAAATTATCCGGAGGGTAGTAGTGATACACTTATCGATGCAACGTTCCATCAAACGTTTGAAACTGAAAATAGCCGTGTAACCGACAATACGAAACGCGATGAGTCATTGTTGACATGTAACCGGCAGTCCACGCAGCGAACGGTCGGCAAAGTAGGTACAACACTTGTTGAATCTTATGCAGGTGCCGTAAGGTCTAATAATGAATGGACAATCGTCGAGAAGAAAAGAAAAAAAAATAGACGCATTGAAGGAAAATTAGGGACAGTTGTAATCGGAACAGATGAGATGTTTAGAGCTGCTGAGAGAAAAATACCACTGTTTATTACTAATGTGCATAAAAATACGTCAGAATCAGATATCGTTCGATACATTTGTAAGATGACACAAGAAACAGTAGCATTAGAGAAAATATCCATTAAGCGTCAATGTGATTACAATGCATTCAAATTCTTTGTAGCACAAAACAAAGTCTCGTTGTTTTTGGATGAGAATATATGGCCAGAAGGGATAATTTTTCGACGGTTTATTAATTTTAAACTAAAAAAATCGACTGGAAACGCACATATTTCCATTGACGGCATTACACACCAAAATTATGGATAGTGGGATCTACAACTTTGTTACCTTCAATTGTAAGAATGTGAAGCGCTCTGTAGAAGGGATACGGGAATTATGTAAAAGATCGGATATCATAGCCCTGCAAGAAACGTGGTTATTGCCGAGTGACCTATCATATTTGTGCAGCATAGATTGCGAGTTTACATCTACGGGAACGTCGGCGATCGATACAACGGAGGGAATACTGCGCGGGCGACCGCACGGTGGTGTCGCGATCCTCTGGCGGCACAGTGTATTTTCCAATGTTGTAGTAGTGCCATGTGATAATCCCCGCATATGTGCGATAAGAATAATGTTAAAAGGGCGGTCAATCCTAGTGATGAGTGTCTACATGCCTACCGATATGTCTACAAACTTAGTGGAATTTACGGACATTCTCGGCTCGGTAAGTGCAATCATAGACAGTAATAATGTGGATTGTGTTTATATTATGGGCGATTTCAATGCTCATCCCACAGAATCATTCTTTAAGGAATTATCTATATTTTGTGAGGAACAGGAATGGACTTGTATAGATATAGAAATGTTGAAGGGTTCATCGAACTGTTTTACGTTTGTGAGTGAAGCTCATGGGTCGCAGCGGTGGCTAGATCATTGTATAGTATCGAAAGCGGCTGTGTCCTCTGTACGTAGAGTGCACATACAATATGACATACTCTGGTCAGACCATTTTCCGCTGATTCTTGAGTGTAATTTAGACGTAGTTCCACCTAAGATAGAAGAAGTAAAATGTGAACGTAACAATGTTTTGTGGGGTGACAGAGGCATAGAACAAATCGACTCATATTATAATGAGTGTCATTCTCATTTCAAACTTCTTAAGTTTCCATCCGAGTTCCATAACTGTGCCGATCAGACTTGTAATGTTATACAACATAGACAGGTCATTGATAAGTTGTATAATGATATAATAAATGTACTAAAGAGAGCGGCTGTAGCTAGTAGAAATAACACACATTGTAAGCGTAAGAAAAAGAAAATTGTAATAGGTTGGAATAAACATGTTAATGAGGCACACAGGAATGCCAGGCAGAAATTTCATGTTTGGTGTGATTATGGTAAACCTAGAGTTGGCTCCATCTATAATGATATGTGTGAGGCTAGAAGATACTTTAAGAAACGTCTAAAGTGGTGTCAAGACCACGAAGAACAAATAAAGATGGATATTCTAGCTTCACATCATTCTAATAATGACTTTCGGTCTTTTTGGAAGGCTACGAGGAAGCTTAGTACAAAGTCTGCCCTTCCTGTGTCTATTGAAGGCGTAAGTAATGCCGAGAACATAGCTGATCTTTTTAAGGATCATTTTACTGTTAAATCCCCTTTGGGGCCATCGCGTGCGGAGTTGAATGTTGAGACTGGACGTGTGGTGGAAATTAGATGTACTGCTAGTGAAGTAGATCGAATTATAAAATCTATGAGTGGAGGTAAATCTCCAGGACACGACAGTCTCAGTATTGAACATCTAAAACATGCTGGGCCACACTTGGCGAGACTGTTGGCAATGCTCTTTAACTTTTGTATAAGTCACTCGTACATGCCGGAGGAGATGATTAGAACAGTGGTGATACCTGTAGTTAAGAATAAAATTTCTGATATAACAGACAAAAATAATTATAGGCCAATCTCCTTAGCTACTGTTGTCTCAAAGGTGTTTGATAGCATGCTTAACTCTCGACTGACTCAGCATATAAAACTTCATGACAACCAGTTTGGCTTTCAAACTGGACTGTCAACTGAAAGCGCTGTTCTTTGTGTTAAGCATGCTATTAGATACTATACAAATCGAAAAACGCCAGTCCATGCATGCTTCCTCGACCTGTCGAGAGCTTTTGATCTGGTTTCTTATGACATCTTGTGGAAAAAGCTCGAAAATTTTCAATTACCATCAGAGCTCATAAATATCTGCAAATATTGGTATGGAAATCAGCTCAACAGCGTGCGATGGGCGGGGACTATGTCGCAGTCATACAGATTGGAGTGTGGTGTGAGGCAAGGAGGGTTGTCTTCGCCGGTACTATTTAATCTGTATATTAATGATCTGATTGTTGCTTTGAGTGGTACCCGTGTCGGCTGTCACATAGACGGCATTAATGTTAATAATATAAGTTATGCTGATGACATGGTGCTGCTCAGCGCGTCGATATGTGGGCTTAAAAAACTCGTGGCTATTTGCGAGTCATATGCTGCATGCCACGGACTGATATACAATGCTGTGAAAAGTGTGGTCATGGTCTTTGAGAGCAGAGGCAAAAACTCAATGGGCTTTCCAGATATTAAACTTAAGGGTATAGCGCTGAAGAGGGTGTATAAATTTAAATATTTAGGACATCAATTGGCCTCGGATCTCAAAGATGATGATGACATTGAACGGGAGCGGAGGGCGCTGGCGGTGAGGGCGAATATGATAGCACGCAGGTTTGCGCGGTGCTCTAGACAAGTTAAAATTACGTTATTTAGATCACATTGCACATCTTTCTATGCATGCAACCTGTGGGCTGTATATACTCAAAAATCCTACAGCGACCTCCGTATCCAATATAATAACGCGTTCAGGGTGTTGATGGGGCTGCCACGATTCTGCAGCGCGTCAGGGATGTTCGCTGAGCATCGTGTAGATTGTTTTTATGCCACGATGCGAAAAAGGTGTGCGTCTCTGGTGCGCAGAGTACGTGCCAGCACCAACAGCATCCTGAGTATGATAGCAAGCAGGCTGGACTGTGTGTACGTTAATCACTGCTGCGCAATTTCCAATGGAATTGTGCAGCGGTGATTATCTGTATACTACTTAATATATTGTATGTGTGTATGTGTGTGTATGTGTATTGTGTATGTAAATTTACTAACATTAGTTTTTAAGAATATTGTTACTAATAAATATTTAATGGACCAAAAAGTCTGAAATAAAAATTATTATTATTATTATTATTATTGCAGTAAACGTAAGGTCCAAATTCGTTAAGCAATGCATGATTTTTTGTTGTCATAACCAGGGTGTTTCCAAATGACCATTATATATCCCCCGTTATGAAATGGAGGTAAGTCAAAAGGTATATGTTTTTGGTTTTTATTCTTTAGCATTACATGTTATAATAAATTTATGAATAGAGACTTACCATACTTTGGGTGCATTTGGATAATGAAATAACCTGTAAATAAAAAAAAAGACTGTTAAATATTGTACAACTTTACATAGCTCTATTTATGTATTAGAATGGCAAACAAGCTGACGGCCCACCTGATGGAAAGTGGTAACTGTCGCCTACAGACATGAGCAGTATCATGGAAATAACATATTGAAATCCTTTATATAGCGGTGAATGGCAACTGATGGTGTATCTTTCGTCCTCTTACTTACTAACTATATTTGCATAAAAAGAAAGGAGACAACCACATGATTTACAATTTTTATTTTATCATTCCTTCTATGTAATTCCTTGTTCTTTTAGCTATGGAATAGTGCAATTGTCTTTCTAATCTTTGAAACTACTCAATAAACTGAAAGCATTGAAGTCCAATAGGTCTTTATTTGACGTATTGTACCAGATGGCAATGAAGCTAAAATGTTTTTCATTATCTGACAGCCGCTGGTAGAAAATAGAACTAAAATAAAAATTGCAATCCTATTCATCCGTCTAGACTCTAGACAAATATATGACATTTTTTAGACATACATATTTACTTATCTGCAATAGTAAGCAGGGGTCATCGTTTCATTAATCTGTCTGTGATGAACAGGGTAAGCAAAGTCAGGCTTACTTTTGGATGGGTAACCGTCAAGTTTTAAATAGCTGGTTATTCTTTTAATTCATATATAAAATTTTTATAATACTAAAAAAAACTAACAAGCTAATGACGCATCTGATGGAAAATGGTAACTGTCGCCTACAGACATGAGCTATTGGCGACGTACAATGGTTCTACCTCTTCCTTTCCCGTTGGTAACAGTAAAGGAACTAAGGAAATTTAATGTTTAAGAAATGGGTTGAGTCTCTCTTAAAAAAATCACCAAACGCCTAACTGCGGTTTCCAATCCACCTGGCAAGCGTGGCAAACTACTGGGAAAACCAACGTAGATATACGGATGATGAAGATCTTGATATTTGAGCCAAGTTACACTCTTCTTTTCATTTAAGAGTTTCCTCTTGTCAGTGCAACTAATTCATGCATCTTCCTCCAGCCAACTCTATCCCAGGCCATATCCTTTATCTCCCTATACGACATGACACCTAGTGTTTCCTTTACCTGTCCCATGTAGTTATTCCTCGGTCTTCCTCATCCTCTTTTGCTCTCTATCTTTCCTTTTACAAGTTACACTGGCTTTTTTAAATATAAAAAATGCAAAAATTCTAAAAGTTACACTGTGATTGATGGATGTTTACTTATTCATGGTACGAGTAGTTATGTGGTCAATATAAACAAAATATGCCAAGAATCGCTCATTTTGTATGTCAAATTTTATGACATTGTATTGTACAGTATTTTTTTTTATACAACTTAGAATGGCAAACAAGCTGACGGCCCACCTGATGGAATGTGGTAACCGTCGCCTATAGACATGAGCAGTACCATGGATATAACAGAGTATACTGTTTCGCCCATGACACCCCTCATGCGTTGCCATTCCTGAGGACTCAGGTGTTATTCCTCTGTACCCTGTAAATTCACGTCATATACCACCCTTCAAACCGAAACACAGCGATGCAAACACAACTGCTTCACGGTAAAAACACGAATGGGAGCTAGGTACCCAAGCAATCGACTTTTATAAAAAGTCTCCCTCTGGTAAAATTTTCTAATAGTTCTAAATAAATTAATATTGAAAAACTTTATAAGACTTTAACCACAAGAAATGATTTTGGTGCCAAAATCCAGCTTAAATGTTTAAAATTCATGTTTAGTTAAGTCATACTTTAAAAGTTGTTCGTCTATCTATTCTGAGGTTTGTCTTACGTTAATCTTTGTAGAACTTTAAAAATATCAAATTAAATGTGCACTTAATTGATGAGTACGCAGAAAGGGAAACATTAAACACTGGAAAAAAATCTAATATAGGTATCATTATAAAATGCAGTAAACATTTTTAAAGTTAATTTTAAACTTTTTCTATATACTAACTTTTAGACTATATCTGTGCCTCTAGTGAGAAAGGGTTATAGCCTTTTTCTTTTTTAGGCTACTTTAAATAAGCAAATTTTTCTCTTTCGAATGGTATAAGAATCGTAACGATATCTTTAAAAACAATAGAGATAGTAAACATGTAAAAGGCTACAATTAACAAAATATTTGTGGTAAAAAAGTCATAATTAGAAATAAAACTACAATATTTTACAAAAATAGTGCCAAAAATGACAAGATACTTAGAACCACCCTTTAAATATGAATTTATTTTTGTGTAAAATGAATCAGTTCGATTTGAACCCTTTTACACCCTTTAATAGCAATTATTTTTTTATAGCGTAAAATACACAACATTGTTTTTCTTCAATACTTCAATAAAATAGTTTTAATTCAACTTAAAACTATTTTTACATGATAATTTTAATATTTTTGTTAAGTGTGATTAGGTATAATAGAATTATTTTTAAAACTATAGGTTTTACACAAAAACCGACAATTTCATAAGAAAGAGGAGAAAAAATTACTATAAATGCAATCATTGACTTGTTCAATTAGCAAATAATAAAAGCAGCAGAATTCTTTTTCTATATTTAAAATAGTTTTTTGGCTCTCCTGAAAAGTGGACATTTTGAATTGAACCTTTTCTCACTAGAGGCACAGATATATATAATAGGAAGAGATACGAGTACTACTAGAGTTTTACTAGAGTACTAGAGACTACAGCATGGCGTTCTTCAAAAAAAGGGGTAAAGAGGTTTCTTCAGGGGTGTTCCCCTGGTATTGCAGACGTTCACAGTCTACGGTAACCGCTTACCATCAAGTGAGCAGCATGCTTGTTTGCCACCTCAATGGTATAAAAAAATTGACTCACAATAGTCTGTATTAAACATTTTATAATATTTAAAAAAGAATTTTAACTATAATATTTTAAATTCACTTAGAAATTTGCTATTTTCAATCATAAGAATGTTTTACGGTGATAAGTTTTTTGCTAATTCAATCGAAAGTCGGCAGACTTGATAAAGTCACTAAAAACGAGACAGCCGAACTTTCTAAGTCAAATAACTTAGCCAATTGAATATTATTGCTTGCTAATGTAGTTATATATACTTTCAGAGGTCTTATGGACTCTGACTTATAAATAATAATAATTATATTTTAAGGTTTAATATATTTTTTTCTACACTTTAAGATAATTAATTATAATACATTTTATAATTAATTTAATAATTAGAATAAATTGGCCGTTTGTCCCCAGAATGGACCAGCACCGAACGGTGTGTTATAAGAGGTAACTAAGGGAACTAAAAGGTCAAAAGATGGGTAGCAGCGTCCCTCTCAAAACATCACCAAAGCCTAAAGAATTATTATTAATGTGAACTACCAGTCCTATTGCTAGCAATATACGCTATCAACTCGACGTCCACGTGGTCCTCCTGGAAACCATCCTGTTAAATTTCTGGTGTATTTTTTTTTTATTGGTGAATATGGTATGGTATCCCCGCCTGCGCTAACGGGATACGCTGGCGGAGCACCAGTGAGGGATGATAGGTGAGAATGAAAACAGGCTAGTTAGCCCATCATGATGAATTCATCAGGAATTAACCATGATAGTTTCCAGGGGGAACCGCGAGGAGGACGACCTGGTTGGGTATATTGCTGGCAATGGGATTCCAGTCTCCATTACTAACAATCCCATTCCCTCTCCTGGTGTATTCATCATATCGAACTAACTAGCTTGTCTTTTCATCTTCACCTATCATCCCTCACTGGTACCCTGCCAGCGTATACCGTTAGCGTAGGCACCCATATCCCACCCTTCAAACCGAAACACAGCCATACAAACACAACTGCTTCACGGTTGAAAAACGAATGAGACAGAGGTACCCATGCAATCGACTTTTGTACAAAGTCTCCCTCTGGTGATCTCTGTAGATTTATTATTTCTCAAGACTTATACGCATTAATAAAAGTAATGCTAAGCTAAAAATAAGTAAGATGATACTGCTTACTTACAATAATAAGTTATATAAAATATTACTTTACAAATTAGATCTGACTGAGATATAAATAGACTAGAAATATTCAGAAGCAAAATTATAATTTATGTAATACAATATGGCTCGTTAAAGATTCATTATTTTGTCAGCCTTTAACTTGTTTTGGTTTTGGTTTTGGTTTTGTCATTAGTTGCCACGCTTGGCAGACGGATTGGCAACCACAGTCAGGCTCAGATGTTTCAAGAGGGACTGCTGCCCATCTCTCGCCATCCCTTAGTCGTCTCTTACGACGGAAAAGGACGTGGAAAGGAAGTGGCGGCCTATTCTATACTGGGTCACCACACAGTCAAGATTACTACGGATTATTATTATTTAAAAGCATGTGACGAGACCCTGTGACGCAAAGCGTAGTACGCTCCCTCAATGAAACTTCGAAATGAAGTAGTAAAATGTAACAGATCCATTATCCATTATGGGTGCCTTAACTGGACATATGCCAATAAGGCAAGATGGGTCTATCTTCGGACACACTGTGCAGACTGTGCGGGGAGAACTCGGAATCCATGGAACACTTGATGTGCAACTGCGATTCGTTGGCAAGTATGCGAATGAGTCTACTGGGAACGGCTTATCGAGAACCAGGGGACTACAGATATCTTAAACCGCGGGATATCGTTAAGGTAACGCATAGGATCTATGAAATGATGGTATAAGGCAAGGGGAAGCACAAAAGATCCCGATGGGTCGACGTGCAACAGCTTAGCTGACCCCATATGCGAATATAAGATAAGATAAGATAACAGATCCATTTCTAGCAATATTCCGTAAAGGTCGACCTCCACGCGGTTTCCCCTAGAAACCATAGTGGTTAATTTTTGATGAATTCTTGGCGATGGGCCAACTGACTTGCTCCATTATCCCTTAGGCTGAGTTACCATTCCATTTTCATCGATTAAAAAAAAATAATTCATAACGTTTCTGTCATACATATATACATAGACTAGTTTAATAACATTCACTCTATCCCA